GTTGCAGGTGCTGATGTTGAAGTTTCTTCTCCAGCTGGGCCAGTCCAAGCTCAACGTCGAGGGAGTGGTGTTCGATTGTCTGATCCTCGACGGTGCCAGCCAGGAGGCAACCCAGATGAGCGCCCAAGGTGCACGCTACAACGAGGCCGTCACGGCCTCAGGCAAAAGCCACAATCATGCCCCCCCGCATTTGTGGGTCTTCGGCGGCCTCCTCACGGCACTGCACCAGCGCAAGGACGCGGTCCGAGCCGCCAACGCCAAGAAGCTGATGGAGCTGAAACAGATCATCGAAACGTGGGACATGACGAAGCGGGGGGACATGATCAAATTCTGCCAGATGGATCGGTGCTACGACAAGCGCAAGCTCATGCTCCACCTGCACCCAGAGACCCGCCAATGTATCATCGACGCGATGGTCCAGACGGGTGCGGAGTGGAAGCAGGGTCGGGCCCCCGTCAGCCACATGGAGCGCGAGCTTCAGGACTGGCTGGAAGCCTTCACGAAAGAGTAAGTCGACTACTTCATGCCGCAACACGTCCAATTAGCCCCCCGCCCTCGGTGGGCACTGCCTTAATCTCTGGTCCCCTTCGGGGGGACTTGGACCTTGGACGGGGGGAGAGGGCTGATGACGAGACGTGGAATGACGGCACGAATGGTACAGTGGATAATGGGGACAAGTTTCTACCGATGAGCTATGGTATGATGAAAGCGGACTTTACGCGACCTGACGTGACCTTGGCTCCGATTCTCGACACGGGCGTTACAGAGACGAGCCCATTGCGACCTGCGAGACCAACTACGACCTTGGGAGCTCCGAGTTCGGGGCCCACACCTCCCTCTTCGAGGCCCACGGCCTCGGCACCTCCCTCCGCTCCTACGACCTCGAGGCCCGCGGCTTCGGCACCTCCCTCGGCGACCTCAAGGCCGCCTCGCCCTTCGGGAGCTAGGCCGCCTGCCTCCTCTGAGTGGGCGGGCAGACGATGGGAGGCTCCCGATTCAGTTCGTGTTAGAGAATACAAAAAAAACGACCGGTTTTTCCAGGAAGTCCCAGTTTTGAGAAGTTGTTCAATAGCGCTCATATAATTAGACTCGCGAGGGAGGAATTCGAGCGAAGAGTAGACCCCCTTCCCCGTCCTCCTGGTCCTCCCGAGGTCCTGGGGCCGTGACTCGTTCCCTTTCGTTGTCGTGTCGCCCTCCCTACTCTTCGCTGGGCCCCGTCTTGGGTAACGCGTGCCCTTGGCGGTCCTCGGGGCGGGACGCTAGCTTTCGGCGATGCTCCGGAGGTCCACCTCGCCCCGCTTTCCGTCCCCTTCGGGATTTTCCTCCGAACCTAGAGTAGATCGAGGTAGTTCAGCCGATCTGTGGAGGTTCTTCGGAGCGCTTGTCCTTGTCTTTGTCCGTCCCGTTGCGCTGTTGTCCTTCCTCTATCCGCGGACGCGTGTCATAGCCGACCTGGAACTCCAACAAAGACCCCATCGTATTATACGCAGTCGGACAAGTTGAGCTGCGCACATCAGGGAAAGAGGTGACGGGTGAGCAAGATGTTGAGCAGGAGGAAAGGAGGAAGAGGAATTAGAAGGACGAGGACGAACAGCAGAAGCAACACCAGAGGGAGCTAGAGTGGAAGGAGCGGGAGGAGCATGAGAACCAGAGGAAGGAGGAGGGAAAATGAAGGGGGGGACAAAGATGCAGAAGGACTTGGATCCAGAAAAGTGGCCCGCTCTGGAGCGAAACCGCCATTCCCAACGACGCAAGCAAAGTGCCGTTCCGAAAGTGAGGTCCACGCTGCAGCGGGCACACCGCTTTGAAACACCGAACACAAGCGGAATGCAAAAAAGCAAAACAAAAACACCGTTGTTCAATTACCTAACAGCTTTTACTGATAAGTTTCTAGTGGGGTCAAAAGATTAGGAACCGGCAGAAACCGGCAGCCCCAGGGGGGTCTGGGCGGGAACCGGAAAAAACCGGCAGCCTCAGGAATCCTTCTGAATTCCAGAGGAGTTCTTGCATTCTTCCATCAGAACACCATTCCCACGCCACATTTTGAATGCCCGGAGCCACCTGTAGGCTATTTCGTGTTCTTCGTGTTCTCAGAACACCATTCCCAGGCCACATTTTGAATGCCCGGAGCCAACTGTAGGCCACTTCGTGTTCTTCGTGTTCCCAGAATACCATTCCTGTACCATATTTTGATTGCCCGGAGCGAACTGTGAGCAATGGCAGGCTGAGGCTGAGGCTGAGGCCGAGACAGGCTGAGTTTGAGGCTGAGGCAAGCCGAGGCAGGCTGAGGCTGAGGCTTAAGCTGAGGCAGGCTCGGGCTGGGGCAAGCCGAGGCAGGTTTAGGCTGAGGCTGAGGCAAGCTTAGGCTGAGGCAGGCTGAGGCTGAGGCTGACGCAGGCTGAGGCCGAGGCAGGCTGAGGCTGAGGCTGAGGCAGGCTGAGGCTGAGGCAGACTGAGACTGAGGCTGATGCAGGCTGAGGCTGCGGCTGAGGCTGATGCAGGCTGAGGCTGAGAGGCTGACGCTGAGGCTGAGGCAGGCTGAGGCTGAGGCTGAGGCTGATGCAGGCTGAGGCTGAGGCTGAGGCAAGCCGAGGCAGGCTGAGGCTGAGGCTGAAGCTGATGCAGGCTGAGGCTGAGGCTGAGGCAAGCCGAGGCAGGCTGAGGCTGAGGCTGACGCTGAGGCAGGCTGAGGCTGAGGCTGAGGCCGAGGCAGGCTGAGGCTGAGGCTGAGGCTGAGGCACGCCGAGGCAGGCTGAGGCTGAGGCTGAGGCAGGCTGACGCTGAGGCAGGCTGAGGCTGAGGCTGACGCAGGCTGAGGCCGAGGCAGGCTGAGGCTGAGGCTGAGGCAGGCTGAGACTGAGGCTGAGGCAGGCTGAGGCTGAGGCTGAGGTCGAGGCAGGCTGAGGCTGAGGCTGACGCAAGCCGAGGCAGGCTGAGGCTGAGGCTGAAGCTGAGGCAGGCTGAGGCTGAGGCTGAGGCTGAGGCTGTGGCTGAGGCTGAGGCAAGCTACGGCTGAGGCAGGCTGAGGCTGAGTGAGGCTGAGGCAGGCTGAGGCTGAGGCTGAGGCCGAGGCAGGCTGAGACTGAGGCCCAGGCAAGCCGAGGCAGGCTGAGGCTGAGGCTGAGGCTGAGGCTGAGGCAGGCTGACGCTGAGGCTGAGGCAGGCTGAGGCTGAGGCAGGCTGAGGCTGAGGCCGAGGCAGGTGAATCCTTCGGAATCCTTAGGATTCCCTAGGAATCCTTAGGAATCCCTAGGAATCAGGATCCCTAAGGATTCCTAAGGTTTCCTAAGGATTCCTATGGATTCATAAGGATGCCTAAGGATGCCTTAGGAATCCTTAGGAATCCTTAGGGTTCCATTGGATCCTAAGGCCGTTGCCACTGCGACTGTCACTGCGAATGCGACTGCGACTGCGAGAACAGCAGAATTATACAACTGGATTCTCGCCTGAATCTTAAGGGGAATGCTTCCAAATATGCTTATATACATCGCTGTTAGGTTGCTTTGCCGGGATACTATGTTCCTTCTTTCTTGATGTATATAAATCAAAAAAACGTACGTGGAAAGAGAGAGTGGAACACCATCTGGACAAAGTCAGGGGAGAGAGGATATTAGTATCCAGATTGAGTAATTGTTGATGTGAGGGGGGGTATGGGGAGGAACAAGTAAGTTCTCATTCTCTTGACAAGGGTGTGGCTGATGGCAACGATCTCGATGTTGCTCTTCTGGTTTCAACGGCTGGGAAGCATTCGCCGATCGACGAAACTGGGGCACAATTTTACGTGTCGGTCCAACGTGCTAGCAGTGCTATTCAATCGAGTAGCGGTGTGTGCACCCCTTCACTCTCTGCCCGAGTACTGGGAGCACAGGATACTTCACTCTCTCTGCTCTGCCCTCTCTCTGCCCGATCTGATGGTGCCTTGAGCCTGCCTTGCCTGGCTTGACACTTCTCTGACAGCGGAGCACGCCATCACACCGTGGTCGCAACTTCTTCCTTGACGTTTAGCATCCAGATGATGTGGAACACAAACATGGGGGAACCGTACACGAAACAAAGCGGGGTGGGGCGAGACACCAGTCAAGTCGAAGCCGGGGTCAGCCCGAGCAGTCCACCAAAATGACCACATTTGGGGTCCTCTCGGAGGCCTCTTGGGCTTTCTTGGGGCCATTTTGGAAGCGTCTGCAGCCTTCTCTTGAGTCTCTGTTGGGGTCCCTCCGAGAGCCTTCGGGGGCCTCGTTCTGGGCATCCTGTAAGCCATCAGCCAAAACAGCGGGAGCCTTACTTGCTGCATCCCCCTCGGGAGCCCGAAACGTTGACTCCTCTGAAGCTCTCGTGGGGGAGCTCTCGGGGGGCATCCAGCTCCTGCAGGGGCTCTTTTTTGTTCCGTGCCTGCGCGGGAGCACGGAGCCAGGCGACGAGCACTGCGAAGCGGCGTCTCTGGCGCGTTTCTGGCCAAGAGAGCTCCATCCCCCTGAGCACGGAGAGCTCCATCCATCCCTGGCCATTCCCGAGCGCCAGTGCGGCATCCCTCCAACCGCCGCCACGGTCCTGGCGCGCACCGTCGTCGCGAAGCCGCGCTCTGCGCTGAGGCGGAGGGGCCGCGTTTCGTGGGCGGAAAATATGTCCGCATCCGCGGACTCGCGGGCCGGGCCCCTGGGCCGCGACCCCGCGGATACGGGGCGTCGTTTAGCAAAGCGCCCCCCGCATGGAACGTATCCGTGCGACCGCGTATCCGCGGGGTCGAGCCGCGGAATCCAGGCCGCGAGGGCGCGGATATGGATCTTCGAGTCGCTCGTGATCGCCTCCTCCCGGCACCGAGGTGGAGTGAGCCCTCCTCTCCAGAGCAGGGCGCCCGCCCTGGCCACGCGCGGGTCGCCTGTCCAGCCAGCCCCAGGGCGCCCCCCCCCCTCTCCGCACCCCCCGCAGGGAGCGGAGGGGGCCCGCCCGGCCAGCTCGGCCACCGCGGGCGCTCGCGGGGGTCGCCGGAGGCCTCGCCCTAATTACCTGGCGCCCACCTCGCTCAGGAGGCCTGCGAGGAACCCCGGGTCGCCCCTGGCGGCGTCCCGCAGCAGGGCGGCCCGCCCCTTGGCGTCCGCGGCGGTCCAGCCGCGGAGCCTCCTCTCCACGGCAGCTATGACCTGCTCGTCCTCCCACATGGGCGACAGGTACTCGCCCCTGCCAGCCAGTGAGTCCGCGATCATGGCGCGCATCGTCGCGACGAAGTCGTACTCTGCGCTGAAGTGGAGAAGGCTCTTCGCCCGGCAGGTGTCCGCCGTGGTCCCACGCATGTCGTTCTTGCGTGCCGGAGCACGTTCCTGGTTCGGGGACACCAGGTCGGCCACCTGCTGTACCGTGTGCGCCTCGCCAGTGCCGATGTTGATCACCGTGCCGCGGACGGGGCTCTGGTAGCTCAGCACGCAAGCGCGAGCCACATCCTCCACGTGCACAAAGTCGCGGAACTGCTGCCCATCGCCCTCGATGACCAGTGGCTTCCCCGCGAACAGGCGTTTCAGGAAGATCCCCGTGACGATGGAGTACGCACCCTCCGACGGATTGCGCGGACCGTACACCATGAAGAACCGCAGGCTCAGGGTAGGGATGTTGTACAGCTGGTCGTTTGTGAGCATCTCCAACTCTCCCATGTATTTCGACGCGGCATACGGGGACGTGGGAACGAACGGGTCCTGCTCGTGGAAGGGGATGTCCTGGTTCCCATAATAAGTCGACGATGCCGCGAAGACGACCTTCCGAACCAGGTGCGTCTCGTTGGCAGCCTCGAGGATGTTGCTGGTGCCGACCGCGTTCTGCTCTATATTGAACGTGGCCATCTTCGGGCTCCTCAGCGAGGGCAGCACCTTGCTGGCGGCCGCGAGATGGAACACGCCTCTGACGCCGGCCATCGCCCGCCTCACGGCCGCCCTGTCCAGGATGTCGCCGAGCACAAACTCCAGGCGCGGGTGCCTGAGGTCCAGGAACTGCAGGTTCCCCGTCTCCAGGTTGTCCAGCACCCGCACGACGTAGCCCAGGCCCAGAAGCTGCTGGACCAGCGTGCTCCCTATGAACCCCGAGCCGCCGGTGACCAGAACCAGCTCCCCCGGCTCTGCCGCTCGTGATGGGCCGATTGTCCGCCGCCACTACCACATGTAGGAGAGGGAGGAGGAGGAGGAGGAGGAGGAGGAGGAGGAGGAGGAGGAGGAGGAGGAGGAGGAGGAGGAGGACCTCCCCCGTCCTACCTGTGGTAGCGGTGGTGGATGATTGGCCCCTCAGCTCGGGGCCTGCCGCCGCCGCCAGCGCCGACCCCGCGGCATGGGTCGAGCCCCCCGGGCGCCTTCGGGCGGGCTCCGGTGGCGGGCGGGTGCAGCGCCGACCGCAGCAGGAAGCCCAGGGTGAAGCAGCCGAGGGCGAAGAGGAGGATCGGCCGTGCCCCAAGGCTGCTGAGCAGCAGCCTGTACCTCAGCCAGCTCTGTGCCTTGTGCTGCGGGTCGTCCCCTGCCATCCGCGCCGCCACGTCGCGCCGCCCCGCCCCGAAAAACGATCAGGGCGGGCGCGCTGGCCAAAATCGCTGGAGCAAAAATTGCTCCTGGAGCTCTAGGGTAGGGCCCCTCTGGGCCTGGCACTTCTGCGCCTGTCCTGAAGCAGTGGTGGGGCCACCCTGAGCCTCAGAAGCCAATCGGAAAGGGTAGATAAATCAATCATCAGTGCACCACCTGACGTCCTCTCGGGGCATACTTGGAAGGCTCCGTGGCCACCTCGGGCCGTCTCGGGGCGGTATTGAGGCCTCTTCAAGGCATGCCGCAAGCCATCCTGCACGAGCTTGGAGGTAGACTTGGGCTATCTGGGGCCACCTTGGAGCCATCTTGACGCTCTGACCGCTTGCAAGCCCCCCTCCCCCCGTCCAGGCCCCAGGGAGGGGTATGGGCGAGGGGAGGGGCAAACTCCTCCCCCGAAGAGGAACCGCGGTTTACGAATACCTCGTGCCCCGACCCACCCAGCCAGAGGGCCGCTGGGACGGAGGATCTTCGTGCCCCAGGAGCCCTTCGACCGCCAGGCTGCTCAGGCGCGGCGCTGACACAGAAAGAACTGCACCCGTCTCCGCTGCCCGCGCCAGGTCCCCGTGCCACCGCGGCCTCGTCGTCGGTCTTGTAGGGCATGACCGGCACCACTGGCCCGAACTGCTCCTGTGTCTCATGATCCTCCTCGTCCGCCGCCTCCACCTTCTCCTCCTCCACCCTCTGCGCTCTCCTTTCAGTTTTGGTTCTCCTCCCTCTCCTCGACCTCCGGTCCGCCGCGGCCGACTCCCGCTCTCTCCCATTATTCCTCCCCCCTCTCTTGCATCGGACGGCTGCAACCCTCTGCGGCACGGGATCTGGTGGCCGAGATTCCGAAAACAGGCATTCATACATGAATCGATCCATCATGGTAAAGGAATCGTGCCGACAAGAGGAGGGAACGGATGACGATTATGATGACGATGATGACGATGATGGTGATGGTGATGGTAATGATGGTGATGATGACGATGATGCTCATGATGATGGTACTGATGGTGATGGTGATGATGTTGATGTTGAAAATGATGATGATGATGATGATGATGATGATGATGATGATGATGATGATGATGATGATGATGATGATGATGATGATGATGATGATGATGATTATGATGACGATGATGATGATCTCAGTAGGCGTGATAGCCGCCACCTCCGCAGCCGCCTTTCACAATCACTCGGGCCGCCCGAACCATCCCGCCGTATCTCACCAGGCGTTATAGCCTTTCCCACCGCCTTTCCCACCGCCGCCCCAGCCGCCTCCACCACCGCCACCGCCCCAACCACCTCCGCCGCCTCCCCAACCACCACCGCCTCCACCGCCTGTCTTCCAGGGGCCCTCGCAAGACGAGGCTGAGTACTTGCCCTTGCGGTCGTCCCACTCCACCTCGTACGTGACGGATGCGCCCTCTTCTATATACGCGGTGCGGTCTTGGCCATCCCCGTGCACTTTGCGATGCAGGAACACGTCATCGCTACCGTCGTCAGGAGTGATGAAACCGAAGCCCTTGTCCTCGAAGAACTTCTTGACCTTCCCCGTCGGCATGGTTGACGCTGGGCCGGAAACAACAACTAGCCGCGCCCACCCGTACAACTGACCCTCGAATCAAGGCTGCCCCTGCCCGAGCCAACACGGCAGTGGCTTGAGCCAAAATGGTGGTGGTGGTGGTGGCAATGATGATGATGACAGTGATGACAATTACGCCGCAGATGACGACGGCAACGACGACGACGACGATGATGATGAAGATGATGCTGATGGTGATGCTAATGCTGATAATGATGCTGCTGATGGTGCTGATGCCGATGCTGCAGATGCTGCTGATGATGATGAGGGTGATAATGAGGATGAGGCTGAGGCTGAGGATGAGGATGGGGATGAGGATGAGGATGAGGATGATGATGATGATGAGTATGGTGATGGTGATGGTGATGTTGATGGTGGTGTTGATGATGGTGATGATGGTCATGGAGATGATGATAATGATTACAATGCTGATGAGGATGATGATGGTGAGGGGAAGTAGGATGATAAGGATGATGCTGACAAGGATGATGATAATGATGAGGATGATGAGGATGATGAGAATGATGATTGTGAAGTTAATGGTAGTGGTGATTGTGATGATGGTAATGATGATGGTAATGATGATGACGCTGATGAAGATGATGCGCATGACGAACATGATGAATATCATGATGATCAGGATGAGGATGGTGAGGGTAATGGTGATGGTGATGGTGATGTCGATGGTGATGATGATGAGGATGATAACGATGATGAGGATGATGGTGGTGACGGTGATGACGAAAAGGAGGAGGAACACCAAAGCAAGGGTGAGGGCAGGCGCGAGAGAACGTGAGCTCGAGGGGCCCAATCGCAAGCACGCTGACTCTTCCTCCTCCTCATCCCCCTTCCCCTCCCCCTCCTCCCGTCCTCCTCCTGCTTTATCTCCTCCTTTCTCTCCTCGTCCCCCATCCCCGTCCCCCTCCTCCTCATCCTCAGTGCGCTCAGCACCATAATCACCAGCGTCGCTCACAACTGCCTGCGCCTCCCTCGGGCGCATCGTCGTCGCCACCGAGAGCCCTCGTCGCATTCGCCGCCATCTTCGTGGTCGCCGTTTTCGCCGTCGCCGGCAGGCCCGTCTTCCTCGTCGACCAGGCGCGTGCCCTCCACGACGCCCGTCACTATCGTGGGCAGGTAGAAGAGCCTCGGGCGCGGCGGCGGCCGCCCGCGGGCGCGCCCACGAGCGGGGACCTCCTGCCCCTCCTCCTCCTCCTCCTCCTCCTCCTCCGCCGAGTCCTTCTCCTCCTCCTCCTCGTCCCCCTGCTGCTCCTCCTCCTCCTCATCCTTCTCCTCCTCCCCCTCCTCCAGCACCCACAGCTCTCCAGCTCAACCTCATCTTCCCCCTCCTCCTCCTCCTCCTCCTCATCATCATCAGCAGCATCAACATCATCCGCATTGTCATCATCATCGTCATCAGCAGCATCAGCATCAGCATCAGCATCAACATCAGCAG